ATCATCTACTAGAGCAGGTCCACCGAATTTGAAGAGGGCTGGGGGAATTCTATCTGCTCCTGAGGACTTATGCAATTTCAACAGCCGGATCTCACGTTCGACCTCTGCGCGTGAGGGCGGATCCAAGGAGACGGCCCAAGGAGAAGGGCGCTCAATGCCCGAAGAAGAAAGTGATAACGCAGGTTTGTTAAATTGCCTTGCAAAGTGTTCGGCCCAACGCTCCAAGCGTTTTGACAAGCTGTGGATCGGCTGCCCACTCTCGTCGCGTATGGTCTCGCTAACACCAGGTCTCCTGCTGCCTGTTTCCCGTATCAGACGGAATAACTTACGATGATTACCAACGGCAGCGGCTGTTTCCATCTCAGAGGCACGATGAGACCACCAGGTTTCGCGGTCCTTCTTCAGGCTAGCCCGTAGTTTTGCCCTGAGATTTTTGCGAGCCTCATTGTATTCGCTTCCAGCCGGAATACGTCGGCGAGCATCCATAAGTTCCATAGACTGTGTAGAGACCCAGTGTCCGGTTTGGCAATTTGCTTTACCACATGAAGACACGCCTGCGGACAGTAACGTTTGACGAATATGCAACCAGTGATCTTCAACGGTGTTTAGTGGGCGCTTACCCAGCCCGGATGTCAGCGCACTATGGTATACATTCAGAACATCTGGCTTCGCCAACTGGCTGGTGTCAATCCGTTCACCTCGACGTTGCGGACGTCCACCGAAACGCACCCGGAGGTCGGCACAGACAAGTGCGTGGTCAGAGTCCACGCTCGTGCTCCAAATTGAGCGACAATTCTGGACACAGCCCCTCCAGCGGTAACTGATCGCGATATGATCGATTTGTGTCCATGGTTGGCCCGAGGCCGATGGCCGCCAAGTCACGCTTCTGCGGGTGCTGTGTCGGAAGTTAGTGCTCGCGAGAAAGAGGCGAGCATCTTCACACAGATGTAGCAATCGTTCACCATTATCATTACGCGATCCTACACCATGTTGGCCGCCCAGATGAAGCTCGTCAGAGGACAATTGTCCGACTTGGGCGTTTAGATCACCAGCCAACACCACAGTATCCGTGCTTCTTCTGTAACGAAGGAGCTCGTGAAGTTGCTGATAGAAATCATCTTTTACCGAATCAGTGCTACAGTTTGTAGGGGCGTAAGCCGCAATGACAAACAGGCACCGTTTGTCCCCGCGCGACTTCGTAGCACGGAAGGAACCAGCTAATCTAACGGCACACATCCTACTGTTTACTGGGATCCAATCAATCAGGGCAGCTTCAGCCCGGGGACTCAAAACAATGCCGACGCCAGCTTGACCGGCATTTGAAGCTGCATCATCGCCAGATAAGCGCAATGAGAATGTGCCGCCAGTGTCGCATGTGGGGGATCTCAGGGTAAGTACGGAGCTCGAATCTTGCAGACGGGTTTCTGATAAACAGCAAATATCGATCGATAGGGTCTCTAGTGTGCGGGCAAGTGCTGCCTGTTGGCCAATCTGCAGCAAAGTGCGCACGTTGAAGCATGCCAGTCTTAGCGAGACGCGAGGACTCCAAAGGGAAACGGATGAACTGACTTTGTCCGCTTGCTTGAACATGGACTTGTCAACTGGATTGGAGCGAGGCCCTGGGATTGTGTGCGATTTGAAATTAGAAGACAAGCGACTACTGAAGAAAGCTGGGGGAGGGCCAAGAATTGGGGGATTGAAAATGGGGGGGATATAAGTAAAGTTGGAGCGGGACGATAAGGATGAAGAAGCGCAAGAAGGGAAAAAAAAAAAATGGAAGCCCTGAGAAGTAGCATCCAAACCCCTATCCACCCTGCTCGATGCAGCAGATAGGGCGCCGTTTATTATCCTCTGCGACGGCCAGAGCATCAAGAAATTGTTGAAGGAAAGTTTCATTGTATTGGAATCGTTGTGCAATGACTGGCAAATGTGTTTCTCAGCAGACAAGTGCAGTGTGTTAACATCCAAGTGCGAACTTTCGCCGAATGTAATTTAGCTTGGTGGTAAACCCATCCCCAGCAAAGACTATACGATATCTGGGCATCCGGTACTCTAACACTTGAATTTTTGTGAACAAGCTGAATTCATAACGGCCGAATCAGGAAGAAGCGCAAAACTTATCTCAAAATCATTTTCGATGCGTGAACCTAAACTGCACTTATTTAAAGCCTGTGTTCGCCCTGTACTAGAGTACTGTTCGATTTTGGAGAGTCAAGTTTGGACTACACGTGTGATTGGATTGCGACGCGCAATCCCAATGTAATGGACCGTGATTCACACTGAAGTGAACATTAGTCACTGCGATCACTGGGAGCATACACAAAGCAGATGCAAATTGGGTGTTGACCGCTCGAAAACACTGCGCAACCACAGGTTGTGCAGTGTTTTCGAGCGGTCAACACCTAACTTCCATCTACTGTTCGATTTTCTTTACAAATAGAAGGAAAGGTGACTACATGTGCTTAGAAAACCTGCAGAGATCATTCACAAAAGGCTCTCTTTACCACTTCGTCTAAAGTTAACTACTATGAACGTTGTAATATACTACAACTGGAGCCGCTGTGACTAAGACGCAGGAAGCTTGGATTAACATTCTTCTCTGGTTTGATCCATATGCGTGTTTTCGTGTCAAATAGCAATATTTACCTCAAGAATGAATCTAGTTACGCAATTAGAAATACCAAGAACAAACACCCAGTGTTCAAAACGAAAACTTGTCCGAAGAAAATTCTTCCTAAACAGATATACTGAGATATGGAACAGCCTCCCTATTGAAATAAGAGCATGCGACTCAACCGTTGTTTAAAAGAGCAATTGCAAAGTGCCTGACGGAGCGATAGGTAAAGACAATGTTGCAAGTATATTGCAATGGAAGTCTTATGTGAAGAGGGGCCGAGACGTAAATGCGCTGATGACAAATATACATGAAACATACAACGTACATCGCATTCACTTAAAAAGCCCTCCTGAAGGTGTATTGGAAAAAGATATATGGTTGCCAGAACTCCATTCACTCTTCTTCACCTGACCCACTTTCCTTCTTTACTTGGAGAAGCATAACTCACAGACATACCAAGTGTGGACTGCAAAAGAATTGCGAACTGAGATTAAGATAACTATTTTGTCTCCACTCCTTCGTATTCTGCTTACTCAGCCACGCCTACCTTGCAGCCATACCAAAAAGTGTGGGCGGATAAGGAAACGCTGACTGAATCTATCCAACTTCATTCGCTTTTTCCATTCGTTCTTCTCTCACTCGTCTATGCTTACCATGTTGCTCTCACGTAAACATGTCAGGCATCACGGTGAAGCTAACCGATTCTGCTTCCAACATTATCATCATTATTACAAAAAATTCGCATTTTTTCGCTTACTCGCTTACGCCTAACGTACAGTCATATTCAAATACCTGCGCCAGTTGAAAAGTGCCAATCATGTTCATCTCTCATACAACAGATAAATCTTCCATTATATCTGTCTCGGCCTATATGTACATGTTGAAATGTAATTAAATAAATACCCCCGTCTTTCACCAATTTTTTAGAACGCCAGAAGGTATAGTAAATGATGTACCTACATTAGATGTTTTGGTTAAATGGCTTTAATCTTTTCCTAGCATCAAAGTTTCTCCCATCCTTTGCCCAAGGAAATTAAAACTCGGTTCCGTCCGTAGTAGATCTCCGTCAGAACATCATATATTCTGTGCCCACACAAGGCTCGGAACTGCAAAACGCTGGCAGATAAAAAGGGTTTTCTATTTCTGCCTGACATGGAATATGCTGTTAAACTATACGAAATAATTGTAACATGATTATGCCGAACAGGGAATGCCTCGTAAAAAAGAGAACATACATTTTATTATTATTATTATTAGTGGTAGTATTAGTAGATCTTTTCTTACAGATTTTAGCCAATCGTATGCAGTATATCAAGATTGGTGGGAAAAGCTCTTCCTCACTCACCACAACTTCCAGTGTTCATCAGGGAGCTATTTTGTCCCCATTCCTATTTTTCACCTACATTAACTCTATTCCCGCTCCAAAGTGAGCCATCCTACTGAAGCATGCTGACGACGTGACCCTCGGTGTACATAATCACACCACAGATTTACCGGCCAACTTGCAGTGCTGTCTTTCACTCAACGCATCAAAGTGTAACGTTATTTGCTTGCTAGCCAAGGAAAATTGTTATCAACAGCTCCTGACGCACACCCCGCATCTTAGTATTGGTAGTGTTAGTCTAAACTTCTATCTCGGAGTTACGCTAAGTCGGGATCACACGTGGCCACATCAGGTGAATGAAACATTCACTAAAGTCAGGAGACTGTTCCACGTCTCCCAACTTAGGTCGTCAGCCGTGCCTCGTTACTTGATTTTACGGTTTGGCACCGCTTGCGCAGTTGCAACCGTGTAAACACACTGCCCGCACCGATGGAGGACCAGCCGTACTGATTAGGCGTGTTTTGGTTACTTGCAGAGGCAATAGTTAATATGAAAATAAATGGCTTGGTCTGTTCAGATATGGTCAAGTAAGAAATTATCCATTTAGCACTTTGGATATTTGCTTAAAAGGGTTACTTTTTAAGAGAATTTCAACTATAACTCAAGCAGACACTTGTTGGTCACTGGTGCAGACAGTTAAGGGGTATTAATCCGTAGAGGCTGACAATATCAAAGTAAAAAGTACACGTATTCCTACCCTGATAGCAGTAGTTTCCGAGTGCAATCCGGCGACCGTACGATTTCAGTCCGTTCGGACGGAAACCGAACACACAACAACGACATCATAACGGTGTTAGCATTATATTAATGCGAAAGACACGTCAGTAAAGCATCCCCAAACGTATAAATACACCACATTACATGATCAACTTGAGCGAAGTGGACAGTGGCTGCCGGTTGTGGGGTGAAATTGCTCTGCCATAAGATTACGACGAGCCCGATTGTGAAAACAATAGTTTCAAAGGTATACATACATGTAAAAAATAGCATACTACTTACACGTTCTCTTCGAATGGCAGAAGGCAATAATACGGCTGAAGAAGATCAATGGCAGGTAGACAAAGATCATCCTCCACCAGAGTGCGAGCTCATCTTTGTTTTACAACCGAAACATCTTTCAAGGTCAGGTTCAAGTTCAGTTGGGAGCCGTATCAGAAACAGATTGGGAGAAAATGATTGCCAGCTGTCATCACCATCAGAAGTGAAAACAAAGCCACCAATGAAGAATGGCAGTCTGTGTAAGACCACAAACTTGCTTTCCTTACTAACACATAAAAACCTTTACAAATCACACACGGAGCATTATTCTGTCACATATCCACCAGACGTAAAGGTCGAACACGATCTCTGCATCACCACGCAGGTCTGCAAATGGGTGACAAATTTTTGCTTGAACTGCTGTACGGAATCTGCAAAAGAATAGGACCGGAACGATATGACAATCCCGGGAATGTTCCTTCTTTTCCGTTACTTGCGAATGCAACGTACAAGTTCAAGTTCAAGTTCGGTTGGGACTGAAAAGGTAGGCGAATCTCGTGCGCCTTCCAGCTTGAGTAGATTGTTAAGCCAGCAATTGATGAGGTGCCCAGTTCTTGCTGGATTTAAATCGGAATACCTGCACCGCACTCTGGCCAACCAGTTAATGCCCATTTTGCTGACCTGGCCTCCGCTGTTGTAGCAGTCACTTGAAGTAAGCAAAGGTGAGGAAGAAAAATCGAAGATACAGAATAAGAAGGTGCAGTTGAAACAAGAAAATAATACCGATGCGTGAAGAAAAGTAGAGAAAAGAAAATTCTAGGTGTGAAGATGCGAGTTAGTCAGGAAACGAAAGGTTCACGTTGCCAGCCAAGCGCGTCAATTTGCCGCTCAAATCCCTTAACCGTTGATTCCCTGATAACACTTTCTGGAAGCGCTTTCCGGCGTTCGGTGACTCGGCTTAACATCCGGTTTTCCACCCAAATCCTACCGGACCGCGGTTTGTCCAGCTTCAAGGAATGACCAATTAGAACAGTCAACCTAGCGGGACTGAATAGCGAATATAAATCTGGACCAACCTTCCCAATTAAGATGCTGTAGGTTAGCATTCGGCCTCCTCTAAGCCTTCGGTAGTGCACTGAATGCATTCCTAAACTAAGTAAATGCTCGGGCTACGTCCGTCCCTGCAATCCTTCAAGTAACTCTGTACCCACCCCTAAAACCGTCACTATATCTATGTTGGCCTGGGGGAGGCGGGACGGACCCGCCTTGACGCAGTATCCCAGATGACACCGAAAGAAAGCCGCGAACAGTCTCGTAAAGTTGCCGCTCGTCTAGACTCCGAAAGCACGTCGAACTAACCGCAACATGCGGAACTCTCTGCTTGTGGCCATCTTCCATTTGTCTCCGGGGTTTAAAACCGCAGAGTGTACGATGCCTAAATCAACTTGGTTGGATATAAGTGGCAGTTCGGCCCCACTGCCAGAGTACTTTGCAATACGACGACCTGCTCTAATTCGGAGCACGGAGCACTCTACTTTATGTACGGGCAATAAGCATAAAGTAGACCAGTCCCACAGCTCCTCCAATGCTGGCTGAATAGCTTCGGAACCCCCAGGAAGATCGACAAAGTCCCACAGCTTCAGCTCATCAGCAAACAGCAGCGATGGTACCACCAGTTCCCCGGGTAGGTCATTCAAATGGATAGAGAACAGCAGCGGTTCAACGACCGGGCCCTGCAGCGCGCCACTGAGGATAGAGTGCCTAAACGGTAGGCGACGGCCCACCTCTACACCCTATTCTCTAGCATCTATGCAGGCCGTCACTCAATGAAGGGCGCGATCAGATACCCCGTAGGAGGTCAGCTTTTGTGCGTGCCGCAAATGGGGTACCTTGTCAAATGCCTTCGAAAGGCGACGGCTAGCGCGTGCAGTGAGTGGCCGTTAGCCATTACATCCGCCCAAGTTTCGCGAGCCACCATTAGATTTGTCAAACACGAAAATCCCTTCCAGAATCCGTCTGGTACATTGCTAAATAGCCTAAAGCTACGCACACCAGTTTCTCGAGGGCTTTTATTACTACACTAGTCAGACTCACCGTAACGGTTGGCAAGTCGACCGATATCACATTTACAAGTTCTGTGCATATATCTGCGCTCGCACGAACACGCCTGCATATCTGGTTAGTGACATACCACTATTCTTAAGTATTTTTCACCCGTTTCCTCATACTTCACTCACCTGAGCCACACTGTGTACGGGACCTTATCGGACTATTTCCTCATCAACATACCACACTAGTGATCTGATTATTATCTCTACCTCTCGCATTCTGTGTACATAGACTTCATACAACCTATGGGCCATATGGGCTCACACTACTGTCTCCAACTGTACTACTCCCGCTGTTGGTGCTGCTTATTCTGCTAGCGTGTACAATATTGCAATATGCTGATCATGCCCAAAAGGCGTGTCTCGCTTTGTCGAGAATAAAATATTTATTTATTTATTTATACAACCTAGCAATGACAAGCTGTTTTACAGAATGGATGAATTGAAAGCAAACCAAACGAACCAGACTCGTATTAACAACTTACTTCCACCTTCCATACACAAACCGTCCCCGCTGCGGCAGTCACGTAAAGCGAGAAGGGTGGAAGCACATAGCAGCCGAAGAGAAAAAAATCTTTTAAGTAGAGGATAATCTCAAAGTGTGAATAATTGCATAGAATATGAAATCGAAGCAGGATGGTCAGCAGAAATGAACCAATTAGTGTTGTCACCCAAAGGCGTATAACTTGCTCTCAAGAGTCTTAACGGCAGGTTCACTTACTAAATCTTCAGCAATTGAATTCCAGCGCTTAATACCACTACGCTGTAAGCAACTTTCCGCCCGGATCCTATCAGAACGCTGCGCGTGTAGTTTCCTGGGATGACAACGAAGACAAGACCACCTAGCCGGACTAAATAGCCAAGACAAGTCCGGTCCAAGGTTCTAATTAATGTAAAGTAAATAATGAGTAGGTCGTATTGACGCCGCCGATGGTGCAACGAATCCCTACCCAAATTATTTAGACGCTCGAGTTGCATTCGCTCTAATGCGCACACGCGAAAGTCTCGTAAGCTGCAATTTGTCTCGATCAAGGCAGAGCACGCGATCCCGGATGCAGCCTTTTAAATGGAGCTGAACGATAGCTGAGGAAATGTTTACAAGGGCGCTGTCTTTCTGAGGTTTCACTTTCAAAGGACAGCTTCGGAAAGGCGTTTACAATTGTCGTGCAAACAATTTGACTAGTATCAAATTTAGCAAGATCCAAATAAGGTTGGATCATCGTTTTCCCCGGATTATGTCGTATCCGTTTTCGGGTACTTAAAAACGTCGACCATCTTTTTCGGGTTCAGCCACTGGCTATTTTCCCGTGATCTTCGTGTTTTCCAACCCGTTTTGCACCTTGGTTTAACCAGTAACTGTTGCTGTTGCCTGCCCTGAAGGTAACGGTTTGTAGGTTTTACCATTTGATACTTGCTTCATAGGCTTCGAAAACGTCATGTCGGCTTCACTGATTACCGGCGCTAATGTATCTTCGGCTGCGTTGATCAGCGCATCTAAGGCTGTATGCGGCAGCGTGAGCTGCTCAAAGTTTGGGATGAAAGAGTCGGGTTGCATGTCGTGCTATGGATGCAACTAACGCTACCATGAGACCTGTATTGATTTGAGCCCTGATCAGTACGTAATGCTTTCGACTAGCGACAGAAGGCTGTTCAAGTGTCTTCTATGCCCCCGTCGTCGGTCTGCGCGGCTTGAGGTCACTAAGGAGACATTGAGCAACCTCGTGCTTGGTAACCAGCATAATACACTTTCCTTACATCTTGCTAAAAAGGTGAAGTTACTGATGGAGAAATGGGAGTCATTCTTGAGGTCGGCTCATTGGAGGAAGACCTGTAACTAACTTTAATTTCTGTCGATGAAAATCCGACGGTTATGGCTGCCGTGTCGTGTGTTCCGGTGGTCCAGAATGCCCTTAAAGTGGCTCCTGATTTCGTACTGGAAGCTGACCAAAGCAAGACCGAACTTTTGGCCCCTGTGCCCAATAAAAGCAAGGGGAAGAGGACTAAGAAAGTCCGTAAACCCTGTAGTGATTGCGACTACACTATATTTCATCGTTGTTTTATCATTTCCCTTGCCAACCACCTTGCACCATTTGTTTAAATTCACGATGTTTGAAAGCAACAATTTCTTCGCGATCGCGTCATGTTGGTTTCGTTTGCTGCTGCGTCCGCTTGTGCTATTGCCACGTTTCTTCAGTAGTCGAGTATATCACTTCGAATCGCTAGTTGGCATCGGAATACTATTGACTGAAGGAAGAATCAGTACGCACATGTGCTCTATTGCTTATCTATTTTGAGTTTTGCCTAAATTTGTTTTTTTGTCTTCGCACTCAAACTTATTAGGTAATGTTGCTCTGCATTAATTGGTGATCCCGTATTTTGGGAACGCTATTGTTTCAGTAAATAAATAAATAAATATTTTATTCTCGACTATGCGAGGCACGCCCATGGAGGCATGATCAGATATGTACAACTGTACAGACATTTTATGGCAATTGTAGCGGTGACAGTAGAAAATTGTTCATATGTCCATGATTAGAACTGTACGATGGTGAAAATGCGAAATAATAATTTGGCGGTCGGGAAACCGGGACTTCGGCTAATAATAGATTGAGAATCCTGAATGGTCCATTGGAAGATAATTGAAGAGCACGCTCAAGAGAAATATGACAATACAGTGAATTCGTGCACAAGTAACGCAAAGGTCAACGGTGATATCGTAGAAAGCAAAAAGACGGCAGTATATGCAGATGTAGATGTTCCAGTGTAACGAACCTACCTAGAATGGTGACGCTAGTTGACCTGCCAGTGTGAAGTTATGGGCTGTGACTTTATTCGGCGGCGACTCACATTCGCCACGTTGCAGTGTTGTTGTTTGTGGCATTTTATAGGGAGAACGCTTGCCAGGCGAAAACCCACCACGTCCTGAGACACTGCCGCCAATCCATTGAATGGCAAGTTGTAATTGGCTATGTTTCTGGTTGAACGTTTGTTTGCTCGGTTATTCGCAGTCAGTTTGCGTCCCATTTTTCTGCCGGCCTACGCGTT